GTGGGGTGGGTTTATTATATTATATAAAAAAAAAAAAACCCTGAATTTTGAAGTTTCAAACTATAAACTTTATTTTTGAATTGGTGTAAAGGATACACCTTATTTATGAATTTTTCCCTTAACATTATTTGGAATCAAATCTCCTCCCAAAAAATCCGCTGCAATATTCACGTCTTTTTGTGGCCCTTCAACCGCCGTAATTTCAGAATTAAAGTTTGTGGACATATGCATTAAATCAGCTTCTGATTCCGTGATTTCCACGTTAAAATTAACGTTTCCATCCTGAGCATCCCTGCGTTGGGTGTAACCGAAATCCTCCCGACGGTGACTTTCCAGGCGATCTCCTTGAGCTTGGGGGCTACCCGCCTGCAAGGGAATGGCCTCTTGTTTCTTCCCGCTTTCCCGTAGCCATGCATTGTATTGTTGATCCAATCCATTCCCAATGGCTAAACCTTCCTCTTTCTTTTCACACCAACCGACAGGGTGTTTGAATAAACCGCAGTGGTAGCAAAAATTTGGAAGTCTTTCATATTTGAATGGTATCCAATGTTTTGTCCCCCCAATGTTGAGGAATCTCCCCCGAGAAATAGGCTTTGAAATATTGATGAGCACCTTGATCCGTAGGAATTCACCTACGCTAACTCCGCTACTATCCATATCAACAATTAGGACTTTTCCCAAGAGCGATCCAATTTCATTTCCAGTCTTTTGGTTCATCCCTGCAAATGGCAAATCATGGCATTGAATCCAAAAAGCTTCTTCGTTAAATGAAATATCTTTTATGGATATGGCTTTCTCACAATCTTGAACACAGATAAGTTGTTTGTCAAAAGACAATGGCCTTCCGTTGATGATTCTCTTTTTGTCGTCAACCCTTTTTAGTTCAATCGAGAATTTGTTCCGACCAACATCCTTGATAACCGCTTTCCGTTCCACTTGCCATGCCTTCAACATAGTAGTCTTCAAAGCTCCTCTGTTCACCTTGCGGTCTGATATCACACTAAAGGCAATGCATTGTGTACTTTTCTCAAGTGATAATAAGATCTCTTCCTTGCCAACCTCTACCTCCTGTTTCTCTTCATCTGTTAACTTCAGTCTATCGTACAGGATTGACAGATCCTTCTCCATTGCAGCCACCTCTATGGACTAGGGATCCAAGAGGAGAAAGACTAGGTTTTCGGGGGAAAACCTAGAGAGAAAACCTTACCTTTTTTCACGAAGGAAGGTGAAAAATGAGTCTTCTATTTTTTAGAGTGCAATCTTGATAATTGATGTTGCAATTTCATAAATATGTGTTATGGTTCATTCATTGGGTTAGTACAACATTATAATTAATATTCTATAATAATATTGATCGATTTTTAGGTAAAAGCACGAATTAAATTACTCCATTTCTTTACGTATTCATTCTTCTGTATACTTTTGTATACGCATTTATATATTAATATTCTAGTTGTATTTTACGCGCTCCTGAATAGCATAATTAAATACGATCTAATGTAAATTATATTTTTATTCTTGAAGAGTAAATCCTTGTATAGTTTATTATAAGGGTAATTAGCATATAACATCCCCACTTTTCACTGCTATTGTGGAAAAACATATATACCTTTCATTTTTTTGGCATTTTCACCCTTATGTTCATCTTTCATTGAACAAAAGGTTCTTTTTATCCATTCTCAATTAAAAATTGTGAAATGATTAAAATACCATTCCCTTTCAATAAAACAAAAGAAAAAAGAAAATTTTAATTTCAAACCGTCCCTATTTTTCTGAAAAGCGCAAATGAGTCTCAAATAAATTATTAAAAGGGTAATTAGCACATAATGTCCCTACATTTCATTATTATTGCGAAAAACATTTATACCTTTTATTTTTTGGCATTTTCTCCTTTAATTATAATTTGATAGCGCAAACCATCATTT